TAAATTAATGCTAATAATTTGGATACTTTATTTCTGGCTGCTCAGGTAACGTTAGCCCTTAACCCAGCATATATGGTATTTTCCCTTTTTTTTTTTTTTTTTTCTTTCTGGGTATAGCTGTAAAATATTTGGATATAGGAAATGTGTTATTCTTGCAGCCTTGATATTCATGGTGGATTGTAAAATATACATTTTTGTGAGATATCAAAGATTAAGATTATTTTGATAACATCATTTATAGACTTAAAAGATGTGATTATCACAAGTCTGTTGAGGGGGAAAACTACTGCATAAAATAACTAACTTGGAATAAATATTTTGCATCAGTTTGGAAAAAAAATAATGAAAAAAAAAAGATTATACATCTTGTGAATGGCAAAGCCAGGATCCAAAATGTACTAGGGATAAGTATAACTGCAATTGGGTAATTTTCCAGGGCTCCAAAGTTATGGAACACTATGATTTATAGAAGCTTTCTAAGGAGCAATTAATCTATTGTGAGAATTATCAATAAATGAGTTTGTGTCTTGCAGTTCAATATCCACAGGACTTTGAAAGCCAGTAAAGTTGAAATAAATAAGATGTAATGATACAATGTTGTAATGAAATCCGTGTGCTTTCATTTGTCTAAAACTCTGCATTTATTCATCACAGTTTTTAATATTAAGTATGCAAAATAAGCTATACTAGATGCTGGAGCTATTGAGCCAAACAAGATTTAAAATGTCCTTTTTCTCATTCCTTTTTACTGCTTTCCAGTGTAGAGAGATTTTTTTAAAAAAGTGAACAGACAGAAAGCCCCAAGACAATTGTGAACCATGACTGATCCTTCTGCTTCTGCATTGGGATTAATAGGGTCACAATGACTAATGAAAAGATGAGGAAAGGAACCAGTTAGGAGAAAGGGAAAGCAATAGTTTCATTTTTAGCATATTAAAATGAGATACAGATATTTAGGGTGAGATGCAAAATAGCTAACAGTGAGTCTGAAGTAAAGAGTGGGATTTACCTAGAAATCATCACGTGCAGATGAAATTAAAAGCCACAGGTTTGAGTGAGATGATGCAAGAAGAGAACCTGCTAGAGAATAAGATTTAAGATTGAGTCTTGATACAGTTTAGTATTTGGGAGTCAGGTAGTAGAGAAGGATCCAGAACAGTAGTTTAAAGAGCAGTGACCACGGCGATTTTACTTCTCAGGATTCAAGAAGAAGGTTTTAAAAGTAACTATGAAAAGTAAAGTTTAATAATAATGGAGAAATGGTCATTAGATAAAACAATATGGAAATCAGAGAGTTTCAGGGGAGTTGTTGACTTGGAGTTCATATTTGAATGGTTGAGGAGAAAATGATATAGGAGATTTCTGGGCAACATGGAGGAATAAGATATAATGCAGAAATAATACCACCACTCAAAAGTCAAAGAAATTATGGATATATAGATATAGATATAGATACATCTGAACTCAAATAATACATAATGAAACAAGGAAAGGGAAATTTAAAGTTAATTTAAAGAAAAAAACCAGTTTGTTTGTATAGCTCCCTCCAGTGTTTTTTAGTCTGTCCCAGTATAGGCCAAAGAATGTAGATTTGCCAGTTAAGCATTACAGAAAAAACGAGGTCAAATTGAACCAAAGTCCTTTGTGGTGGAATTGCCAGAATGACAACTGAGGAACCCAGGCTGGGATAAAATGATAAGTGAAGGCAGAAAGGTGATAAGATGCTGAGTAAGATTTTAGCTGATTAGAGCTCTCAATGAAGTGGAAATATTGTACTGGCTCTACTTAGAGCTGGAAGACAGGTATCTTTAGAAAAGCAATGCTTGAAATTGAGATTTTTGGAAGTGATGCCTTTAGTTAATGACAAAATGCTCGCGGTTTGACTTTGGGAGTATGCGACTGAGGATAAAGAAGTGTTGGAGGAAAAGTGGTCAACAAGAAAGTGATCAGAGTGCTCTATGGGCCATATGTGTAGGGAAAGACAGTGATTCAGGAACTCTAGCCTTCAAAGAATGAGGGAGAGTGACTGGGAGCTTCCAGTAGTGAAGCACAGCAGTGAATCTACCTTAGGATTTCAGTGGGGTTATGGCACATTTTGATTTTAAAATATCTCATTTGATCCATGATCCATGACTTAATTCTGAAAGTCCAATCTGCCCTCAATGACTTTTGAACTAAAGCTGACTTAGCCCACACTTCCCGGGGCAACTCTTTATCAGACAACTTGAATCCATAACCTCCGATACCTGTGGATAGGAAGCTCAGGGTAAGATATCTAGGGATAGGAAATGCGGACTAGACTTAATCTTTTTTCTGTACTATCATATTTTATGAGTATTTGGCTTTTTGATTTTTCATTTTGATATAGTCATTTTGATTCTATGGCCATTTTGACATGCAGAATGTGATTGTTATACTTATTTCTGTTATCGATAGGTGCCCAGGCCAGCATGTTTTCCCTTATTACATAGACTCTCATCTTCAAAGAGCTGTGTTTGTCCCTTAATCTTATCCCATTACCCTTCCTCTCTCTCACACACCCTTCTACTCCATCCTCTAATGATCCATTACATGATCAACCAATTCCCCTGTAATGCCACTCTCTGTTCCAAACACTTCCTTCACCTTCTTGGCCTGAATTACTTCTCATAGTTACACTCTTCTTCAAGTTCTCTAAAACAGGAAATTATTTCTCTTGCCCTCCACATGACTCAAGGCCAACAGAGGGGGTGTCTACTTTACTACAAATTACTATTAAACCCCTTTCCCTCTTATTTGTTTAAAACTCACAACTGCTGTAAAGATAAAACTGATAGACTTCACTCTCTTTCACCATATTCACGGCAGTTACAGTTTCCATGGAATTATACAGGTGGGAAACAAGTTAGAATTTGACTAGTCTTCTATTAAGGCTATATATTATATCATTCACTTCAAAATCAAAATATCCATATTTCATACAATTAGTTGCAATAAAGATATACACCTCTACATTAAAATAATCAATATAACAGTATTTGAATAAAACAACAGGTCAATTAAAAGAAGTGAGAATAGTACTCGAGGTAGGTCTGAAGTTTCCTTTCATGAGCTGGTTAGACCTCTAGAACTACTAGTAGTTTCTTTGATTCTATACAGCCTTTCAGTTTCGTTTAATAACTAATGAATTGAGACTAAATTCCCAGCATGAATGTGTGAAATGGAGGTAAATATTCCCAAGGAAAGATGCACTGGTATTCTAATAGAGTTGATTTATAGTGTTCACCTGGCCTTACGAGGCAGGCACAGCATAGTCATCCTGACTATGTGTCTCTCAGAACAGCTGGGAATGTCCACAGAGAGATAAGGACACCCACCCCACCATAACATCACTCTAGAAGAGGACCAGAAACAGTTTCTAGAAGGCTTGATGGAATCCCTACCCTAGTCAGACTATGGGTCAATTTCCTGGAAAACTGAAGGCCGGGGAGACTCCCTCTGATAGGAATACCCTGCTCATTTTCTTGCTATGTATTTTTACATAGTTTAAAACAATCTTTTACTTACATTGAATTGTATGTGTCTATTAATATTATTCCATCAATTACTGTCAACTTTTAAAAAATATTTTGGTTTTCCTTTACAAAATTGACCTAATAAAAAGCTTTCATAGGTCCTTAAAGTGTTTCATTAACAGATTACTTTAAAAAGAGGTTTTAAATAAATGTCTATCTCCAACAGAAAAATCGGTCAGAGGTGAAGACATCAGAGCCCTAACATTATAACACAGAAATAAAATTCAACTTATACAGCTTTACAGAACCATATATATATACTGTATATTGCATATTTGTTTCTGTGATTCTTGGTTGCTAGCTGGATAACACTGAGTTTTACATTTTTTATTTCTGCTTACAAATCTAAAATTGTAGACTTTTCCTAAAATTGTGTTTATGTAAACAGCTGAACGCATTTTTAACTGGTAATGTAACTTGAATGCATATCCCTAAGGCATCAGACAATTAGCAGAGCTAACACTAAATAATTCGAATCTCTGCCTGCCATGTATGTACCGCATGATGCATTTATGACCACAACTTTGCCTGAGGTTTGAATGTGAACTGTGTCACGATGCCATGTGCTTGAGACATCCTGGAAGTCTTTCAGTTACTGCTGCCTCCTCCCTCTTGACATTCCCTACCGGGTACGTGAAATACGACAGTTTTCAAAACAGTTGACACAAGTGATGGAAAATTTTACTTAAGAGTGTCATTCATCATAACAAAACATCACTTCCTTAATAGTTTATTAACTATTTCCAGTGAAGAAGAGATAAATTAATGGAAAAATTCAATGAGGCTTTGGGATATTGATTTGGAATAGGGTTGTAATAGTCCCCTTGGTATGAACAAAGTGTGTAAGCAAAAACGGATTAGCCACTTTGATATTGGACACCTGGACCACATATTCAATATCCTGCTTTTGAAATATACATAATTAATGTATGTGTCCCTTGACTGCTGACTAATTTGGCTATTTCCATATTTGTTAATTTTACTATTTAGGATGTTAAATGGTACGTCTTTTTCAGCTATGATATTGCTTACCAAAATAAATGCCTGACTTACAAAATATTAGTTTACTTCATTTTAGCTTCTACTTAATTTTCCTGGGGTATGTGAAGCTCTAGGCCACTTAATAGATTTTTTAACATAAATATCCTATCATGTGGGTCCATAGTGCTTAAATGGTTCTATACTCTGCTAGAAATAAAATTTTACTTGGTATTTAGAACTAATCCATAATATATTGGCTCAATAGTCAATCAAATGGCGATTCCTTACTAAGACAAATTTGTTAGAATTTAATTTTAGTTGAGCCAATCATGAGCATTCCAGGGCTGACGACACCAGCACAATTTCAGTTGAGGTAAGCAACATTCCTTTAGTAGAAATGATTTTTAGTGAATATTTTTCTCTCTCTGAAAGAATAATAACAGCATGATAGTAATGGAGTTTTGACTAAGCTGTCATTTTGAAGTTAGATGTAGGTGATCTATCAGATTTCTTTTTTAGCTAATTGGAAAAGAAAGAGGAGTATAGAATTAAGATTTACACTCTCCTGGGAACTTAGAGCCAAATTAAAACGTTAGCTCTAATTAAATCACAGAGTTTGAAGGGACTTGAGAGGTCATCTATCTAGTCAAATTGCTTTCATCTAAGAAGGAACAAACTTAAATCATCCTTCCACGATTACTATCTGAACTCTTTTAGAGACAACCCCGATTGGCACAGAAACTCAAAGCCATGTTTAACAATCTTCATCACTGGTGAAATCATCCTGATATCTACATATCTCAAACTGCAGATAAATATTTATGCTATGTCATCAGTTTACATAAAGAAAGACGTATGTGAAACCTGTCCATGAGGAACTGAAGAACTGTCAAATCAAGGTTGCTCTATTCTAACCTGAAGAAAGGCCCTATTTCTTTAACATTTTTTATAGGTTTCCTTTCAAGCATTTTCATTATTTTGTGATTTTACTTTAAAATTTACAAGTTTATATCCCACTTACTTTCTTGAAGCCCACATTAGACAAAAAGCTTTTAAAAAATGTGTTTAAGTGGAGTTAAGTACAACAGATTTCCTCCTTGTTTCTACCACTGTATCGTGTGTGTGTTTTAAACTTCTGTAACCCTATACTACATATATATTTTTTTCACTGCTATAATTAATTCTCAAATTTGTTCTCTCACCCTGTTAACGTGCCATTTTTTTCTGGAACTTTGTTTCATTAAAATGAATTTGTATATATGAAGCAGTAAAATAATTTATTGGGAGAACTGAACTCACCCTAGGAGTGAAGGTGGCATCATTGATGGAATGCATGTGACCATAGAGGGACTGCTCACATTTACCCTAAGAAAACAAAGCAGAAATACAAATCAAATAAATTCAATTTACTATGTGAAAAGAAGAGGAAAGGTAACAGATCTTATTTGTTTCAAAGTAATGTTTAAGTCCATAAATAAAACTAATACATACTCATGGGAGAAAAGGCTAGCTTTTGCTGTCAGCTACCATTCAGAATCAGACAGGGCTGTGCTGGTGCGTGTGCCAACAGCATTAGTATCTACACTGAAATTCCAGGGTCCTCACTTTTATACCACTGAGCCGGCGGTGAACTCTCACTGACTGACTCTATTCTGCAATTAATGTAGCTTTCAAGCCATGGTGCCAAGTAGTGACGCCCTTATAGAAAGCCCTTGTTTTCAGCACATATTCACCACTGCTGAGGGTGTGGGGTTCTTTCTCCTTTTTAATCACAAGATCACATTTTAATTCATAAACTTTCACAGTTTGGTATTAATATCATTACAAGTATAAAAAAATGTTACAAATGTGCCCAGTAAAATAAGCATTTGTTTTGTGAAAACCATACTTTGCATCTACCCATTCAGGTCATCTTTTCCAAACAATAGCTAAAACTAAAATTCAATTTAACCACAAAATTTCCAAGTTTTAGTTTAAACAATTTTAAGAAAAATGGGCCTATAACACATTACAAAAAGGATTTAAATGTGGGACCTTTCACTTTGACACTGATGTTCAAAGAGTATTCTTACCTACCTTAGGGAAATCACTCAAATTCCATAGAAGAACCAGGGAACAGAGAAAGTTATATCTGGAATGTTGTTTGTAGATTCTTGTTATAGGCAGAAATTCAGATTTCATTCAATAGTGTATTATTCATTTAACAAATATCTTTGAGCAATTAATATATGTTCAGCACAATTCTAGGTGCTTAGAATATGTCAGTGAATAAAACAAAGAAGCTTGTCTTCACTGACCTTACATTCCAGGGGGAGAGGGAAAGTACAAAGGTACAAAGTGTGTTAGAAGATAAGAAATATTTTTAAAAGGTACAAAGTGTGTTAGAAGATAGTAAATATTGTGGAAAGAAGAAAAGTCAGGTAGGGTAAGGGGTGTCATGAGTCCTGGGATTGAAGGGCTAAGGGCAAATCGAATTATCAAGTAGAGTCATGGAGTTTGACCACGCTCAGAAAGCAGGGTTTGAACCAAGAATGAGGCAGTAAGGGAGTTAGGCAAGCAGACATCTGGAGGAAAAGCATTCCAGGAAGAAGAAAAGCTAGAACAAATCTCAATGTGGGAGTTTGCCTGGTGTGTTTCTGGAATAGCAAGGAGGCCAGTGTGGCTGGAGAGAAGTCAGTCAGGAGAGCAGGTTTACTCAAAAGGCTTCATCTACTTTCATTCACTACCTTGTGCTTACTTAGTCCTAAACCATTTAAGGCTGGGGGAGAGATTACAGAAAAGACTGCAGAATGAGATATTAAAGACACAGGGTCATCATCATGCCCCCTCGTTGTTGCAGAACATTCATGGAATAGCTTGGAACTAAGTGGAAAGGCTTTGTAACTAAACTTATTCAATCCTCATTACTGCCATTGCATTCAGCACATTATATTTCAAATATCTATTTACAGAATTAATGCATGCTGTTAATCCCTTTGTACAGAATGCAAAATTTCCCCACATGAATTTAAATTCATAAAAATATGTTGAAATACTCTGGCACCCTCTCAGGATTCCCCCTACTTAGGCTCTTCTGGTTCAGTATCTTGATACTGTTAATAACATTAAACCAATTATGCTGAGGACTTCCAATCACCCAAATTCCCAAAGTAGAGATAAATTACTTACAAAGCCAAAAAGGCAAAGTATAAGATGTTATGGTTATCTTTCATATATTATCTTAGGAGTGTTTATGGTTAACTTTTTTGAGAACTAATATAAATAGTTATATAATATTATAGTTGTATAGTGAGTGTTAATATTTTAAAATATTTGTTAGTAAATTTGTCTTAAAATACTTTTTGCATTAATAAAAGTTTTATGTTTGGTCCTCTTCTAAACTGAGAACCTCTAAACTATTTGATTAATTGGTAAGGAAAATGGAGTTTTCTGATTCAAATCCTGAATGCCAAGTTTTAATTCAAAGTAGAATCTCTAAGGCACTCTTGAAAAGCCCTGGAAATATGGGGTTATAATGGAAATGCTGATGGACCACATTTGTGCTGCTATAACAAAACCTGACTCGAAGATAAATGTTTCATGAATTAAGAAAAGTTAAAAAAGCTTTTCTATCCAGCTTTGTTTCCAAGATAAAAGTGAATCTACTCTTTTTTTGTGGTATAGGGAATATGTGGGTTACTAATATTCTACTCTTCGAACAGCCTTAATCAAAACCAATACCCACACCAGGGCATTAAATTTCAGAATATCTTCTTTGATGAATCCTTGTCAGAATTGTTTTCTTTCAAAAAGTGGAAAAAATGAAAAAAAGGGAAGGGTCTTACCAAAAAAAACCAAAAACAAAAAAAATCATGTGACCTAACGTGTCACTGCTCCAGTATTTGATTCTCTCAGAGAAGCTGTATGCAATAATGGTTTCCATTATTGACTCTGGGGATAAAAACATCTGGAACTTAATTCTTGGCTCTGCTACCAAATAGCTATGTGAACTTAAACAGGTTGCTTCACTTCACTGTGCTTCTGTTGCCTCAAGTAATTCTCAAAACAAATCTATAGGTTAAACGCTATTACCCATGTCCAATGCGATAATGATATTTAACCTATAGGTCTGTTTTGAGAATTAAATGAGATAATGCATGTGAAATGTTGGAACAGTGCCTATCACAAAGTAAGAGCTTACAAATATTAGCTCTTAGTACATGCTAGATAGGCCACTGAAATAGTGATGATGTCCAAATCAACACCTCTACTCTTAGCTATCTATCTGCCTCCTAAGACCCCACGAAGGCGTCTTATCAGCATCAGTGCTGTTTTTTCTAGTTGTCTCTCAGATTAAATCCCCAGGTGGCCCTTCCCTCTCTGTGCCCTGATCTCTACTAACTACATCGCTGTGGGCTCTCAGGTTCTTTGTCTTCTGGTTGGATTCAGTAAGAGAAAACCACCAGCAGGATATGGAAGAGTGGAACTATATAGAAGACGGATAAATGATCACTTCAGCTCCCTTCCTGTTCAGCTGTGATCTTCTTACTGGCTCTGCCCTCTACCTAATTCCACTGCTTATGTTGTGCAGGTCCTCTCCAATGGTTACAGCTCACACTGTTCAGTAATGTTCTCCTTCCCCAGCCCCTTCAGACCTAGTGGTAGTAATAGCTTTCTATTGTTGCTAGCGTTTGGGTGCTGTGTTTGGTCCCTTAACCCTGTTCACATTTCTGTAACCATTCAACTTGAGTGTACTCCATGTATCATCTGTTTCCTGCTTGTGACCTGTCTGATATAGCATGTTAGACATGATATGCAAAAGGAGACTTTTTGATTTACTACTTCCCAACTGCCTCTCTCGACCCTTGCCAAATCTTTCCCTTTAAGTAAATGGCATCACTAGTTGCTCAAACAAAAAACCTAGGCAGTCAAAAATCTGAGAATTGATAACCAACAAGGACCTACTGTATAGCCCAGGGAACGCTGCTCAATATTCTGTGATAACCTAAGTGGGAAAATAATTTGAAAAAGAATAGATACGTGTATAGTAATAACTGAATCACTTTGCTGTACACCTGAATCTAACACAATATTGTTAATCAACTATGCTCCAATATAAAATAAAAATTTAAAAAAACACCTGAGAATTAGAATAACTCTCTTTCCCTACCTCCACCCCACCCCTTATCCAGTATATCAGTTCCTTCCTCAACATACGCCCTTACGCTGCCCACCTCTGCTCTCCTCCACTGTCACCACTCTGGTGCAGGACATCATCGCATGGAGCAAGAGAACAGCAGGGGCATCCTTACTCATCTCCCCGCTCCTACCCTCACCCTACTCCCCATCGATTTCTCTCTCAGCCACTGAAGTGATCAATAAAACCTGAATCAGATCATGCCATGCTGCTTCTTACAGCCATCCAAACAATTACCATTGCATGTAGAATAAATTTTAAACTCTTTACTTAGTTCCGAAAGCTCTGTATTATTTGGCTTCTGTCTGACTATCTGACCTCATCCTTTACCATTCTCCCTTCTCACGCATTTTGCTCCATGATTCTTTTCATGTTTTGATAAGGTCAGGGCTTTCTGAGCAGAGTACTGCACTTGGATGTCAAAAGATGCTTGAATAGCAACCCTGAAGATGGAGACTTCCGGAGAGATTTAGGGGTATCTCCCCTTGAGGCACTTGTTTACATTACAGTGTTGGGAAGTCTAAAGCCCTTCCCCTCCTCCTCCTATAGTGGATTTGCTTACATTTCAGAACAAAGGTTTCTCTTTCTCTTTCTACTGCAGTAGTGGAGGGGCACTGGGTTTCATAATGTGGCGGTTCCTTTCCATGGTATGTAACCCCACTGTCCCCACAGGGTACACCTGGTTCTCACTGCTTCTCCCCATGGGGAACTGGGGGATGGAAAATCAACATGAGCTGCTCTGTGAGCAAATAAATGGCGTGAGCTCTGATCCAGAAACCTCCTGTTTCCTGTCAGGATAAATAAGTAACTATAGACACCAAAGCATAACACTGTCACACTGTCGTTTCTGTTCTAACAGGCCTAGCATGTTCCTGCCTTTGTACATCTTATTTTCTCTACCTTGGATGTTTCCAGGAAGCTATACACACGCCCTTGTCCTTCTTCCCATTCTGCTTTCAACTCCAATAGAACCTTTCCAGTGATGTCTGTTATCAAATATTCTCCCCCCCTCCATTATATCCTCTCATTACAGTAGCAGAAACTTCTGTGAAACTGCTTTCCTTTTCCCCTTGGGCACTCAGCCAGACTTGAGGTCAGGTGCGGCCATGTGACTGAGTTCTGCCCAGTGAAACGCGGGCAATTGTGAAATAAGTCCAACATATCCTGCAAAATATCCCACACAATCCTC